CACTTACGTTTTTTTTTGTGGATTTTAAAAATGGGGCATGTTGTCTTTTTGTTTGTTCATGAAGTAGGCAAATCATGGTGTGGCCGTGGGGAGAGGTCAGGTTTAGACAATATATTAAAATTGCAGGATACATGATTATGTCCTAACATATCTCGTACATATAGCTTTTAAAACAGGCAGAAATATTCATGAATTGTATAGAGACAGCTTATGTGTAGGTAGTGTCATTGTTATCCAATTTAAGCCTCTAAAATATTTCATGAAGGCAATGTTTTGGCCATTTGCACCTCAAAATGGGTATTTGGGGGCTCCTGCTCAATTTCCTTACATTATGACGAAAGGCAAGGTTTAGAATATTTTGGATAATAAAATTGTACATAATTATAATGTAAAGTAGCAAAATTTAGTTTTCATAGCCAAAATATGATTTCGTACAACTTCTACATTCGTGAGGGATCACCAGAGCAAAAATAAAAGGACGAAAGAAAAAAAAAGCGCAATTTTTGTTTTCAATTTCTTAAAATACAAATGCTTTTAGGAACAGCCATATATTAATAAAATACACAACTTTACCAATATGTATTTAATGGGCGAGATATCTGCCTATACGTCGTCAATATAATTTCTAGTCAACGAATTCCTGTGTCAAACTTTTTAACCGAGCTTGAATATTTCCAATACATTATACGAATTCAACGAAACCAGTGCTGCTCCATCCCTACCCTACTGTATAATTGTGTGGCAGCGATTCTTTATGTATTGTACATTGTGAAAACTAACAATAACACTAGAAAGGCCAATATTTGCTTTGGAGCAAATACAGCGATGGGTTCACCACATTTTACGACATGGCAGGGAAAGAATGAGAAACACAAGGGAAAACAATGATTTACATTGATATAACTGTAATATGAAGTAACATACAACTAAAACAACAGTTGGATAGCTATTCCCTACTTTATTGGTTAGGATTTTTAATTGCATAATGCAAACTGTTGATTTTCAAAATAAAAAAAAACGTCCATGCCCCGCATTCCAATGCTGGAGCAGGAAAGCTTGAAATACCTACCAAAACACTTGAATACAGACATACTGTCAGTATGGAAATGCTCTGTGCAGGTGTTAATCAAGTTAAATCCCAACAGCCAATCAGCAAGAAATGCTCTGTGCAGGTGGAAATGCTCTGTGCAGGTGTTAATCAAGTTAAATCCCAACAGCCAATCAGCAAGAAGTATAGAGGAAAGCTGCATGCCTATTGGTTGATGCCCTGCATTCCATTGTGATGACTCATGCCCAAACGTGGTAATAAACACGGCACACTAACACAGTAATACATTTGCCATAACACAGCCAAAAAACTCAAATAAAACCATTCTAAAAGCCTGTATCACAATAATTTAAAAAACGCCTAGGGGTATTTGCCCACTGTACCTCCATATCAAATTTCAGGACCTTGGGCCCTAAAATGAAGAAGCTGAATCCATTTAAAAAATGGCAGGAGAAGAAGAAGGAGGAGAAGAAGAAGAAACATCAGAAAAAGCAATATGGGTTCACCACCACTTCGTGGTGTGGTGAACCCATAACAACAGTTGGATAGCTATTCCCTACTTTATTGGTTAGGATTTTTAATTGCATAATGCAAACTGTTGATTTTCAAAATAAAAAAAAACGTCCATGCCCCGCATTCCAATGCTGGAGCAGGAAAGCTTGAAATACCTACCAAAACACTTGAATACAGACATACTGTCAGTATGGAAATGCTCTGTGCAGGTGTTAATCAAGTTAAATCCCAACAGCCAATCAGCAAGAAATGCTCTGTGCAGGTGGAAATGCTCTGTGCAGGTGTTAATCAAGTTAAATCCCAACAGCCAATCAGCAAGAAGTATAGAGGAAAGCTGCATGCCTATTGGTTGATGCCCTGCATTCCATTGTGATGACTCATTCCCAAACGTGGTAAACAAGGCACACTAACACACTAATACATTTGCTATAACACAGCCAAAAAACTCAAATAAAACCATTCTAAAAGCCTGTATCACAATAATTTAAAAAACGCCTAGGGGTATTTGCCCACTGTACCTCCATACCAAATTTCAGGACCTTGGGCCCTAAAATGAAGAAGCTGAATCCATTTAAAAAATGGCAGGAGAAGGAGGAGAAGAAGAAACATCAGAAAAAGCAATATGGGTTCACCACCACTTCGTGGTGTGGTGAACCCATAATAAACTAAGGTGTGACAATAAACCAAGCATGGATTAGTTGGCAAACTGCAGGTAACATCACTAATTCTTATCTAATGAATAATTCCTTTATATAAAAAGGATTAAAACAAATGCATTGCACTGAAAAGATGTATTATAGAAAAGGAAATTTGCTTTAGATTGTTTTGATAATCTAATGAAGTGAATGAAATGGATAAATTCGACAACAAATACATGGACACAAAGAAATATTACTTAAAAAATACTATTGTAAAATCAATTATTGTAGAAGCAAAGGCAACATATATAATTAATATTTACTTTCTACACTGATGAAAAGACTATATGCTGCTTCCCGTAAGTGTGTATACCGTAAAAAGGGAGAAAAATATGATCATGATCTACCTGCAAGTTGTCCTATCGTGCGCTTGACCTGGCTTGGAGGGACCGCGTGTTTAGTTTCCCCGCCCGGTTTAATTTATACGCTGCGGTGAGTTTTTTTTCCACGGCCGCTTAATCATTTCTACCTCGTGCATCGATGTTAGACTGCAAGGTTTTGCACGGCAGTAGTTGAACAAACCCACATCGTGGTGACTTAATCAAACTCATTCCGTGTAAACTTCCTGCCGTAAAACTCCTGCCGGGAGTCTAGTTTAACTAGACGGATAAGAAGGTCTACAAGCCCGAAGGGTCTCAGCCCAAACCACGATAGACACCAAACCGTCACGTAGAAAAACAGGTATTTTAGGTTGTACACAGTGCGTACAGGTACCCTAAGCTGACCTTTCTGGGCCTATCATGTCAGTGTGACGCTTTGGGGTGGAGAATGGCTGAGGAAACATTTTCAAGGTCATGCGATCCTTCTGCTTGGTTAGCTGTTCTTTCTTACCTAGAGCCATTGTGTTGGGTATGCTAAAACTGGAGCTTGGAGACTAAGCTATGGAAAATTTGCATTTTAAAGAAATCATTGTGTTTACAGACACACACAGATACACACACACGAACGCCTCTCAAAACATAACCTTCTTGGCGATTGCAGGACAATTTTACATGTCACCAACCAAATAGTAGTGGTACTGTAGACTACATGATTCAGTCAGCGACTGTTTGAACACATCTCCCTTTTCTGCGTTAATCCATTGACTATATTTTCCGACCACGACATGTTATCAGTAATGATCCTCACACACCCATTTACCCACAGCAACAAGACACATATTAAAAATACAAAACCATCACCTAAACGTTTCCATTGGAACGAAAATTCAGCGCAAAAATATCTACAATCTCTCGGTCAACCTTACATAATGGACAGAGTCCGACAGACTACACGCTCTGTTACTGAAAGAAACTGAAAACTCAAACAATGAAATTGAAAACCTCGTCTCTGACTTTAGCCCCATTCTAAGCGACGTTGGCTACAATTCATAAGACGTAAGAGTCAATAAGAAACGTCCACAAAAAACTTGTAACAAAGAAAGAAACACAATACAATCAAAGACTCACCATACAGTAGCTTGTACAGTTACTGGGTGGTAACTTGGGAAGAGTTACACTAAGTTTGCCGATCTGAAGACTAGCTACTCTCCAAGCAGAGGTTGTGTTGGAATGATCGTTAGCTTTTTATATATATGGCAATTTTTTGTCGTTAATCCCACCAAGTAATCCCGTCGGTGGCCGGCGACCTTCTCTGGCTAATGGATATATTAGCCTGTCCAATTTTATACTTAGGGTATAGAATTTTCTTCTTACACAACCATAGAGTTTCTCACCTGCTTACGTTTCGATGTCTACCAGACACCTTCCTCAGAGCTTCTGACCGGAGTTCTGCAACTCGCCGCTATTTAACGCCAATGTAGGTGGCGCTTTTGCGGCGAGAATGGCATGTTGCCAGGAACAATTGTGTGGTAGACTGGGAGGGTGCCAGGGTCATAGATAGGGAGGACAACAGGAGAATCCGTTGGATTAAAGAAGCAGTCTGGATAAGGAAGTCAACCCCAGTGATGAACCGGGACGAGGGGGGATACAAGCTCAGCCACGTTTGGGATTGCATTCTCGCCGCAAAAGCGCCACCTACATTGGCGTTAAATAGCGGCGAGTTGCAGAACTCCAGTCAAAAGCTCTGAGGAAGGTGTCTGATAGACATCGAAACGTAAGCAGGTGAGAAACTCTATGGATGTGTAAGAAGAAAATTCTATACCCTAAGTATCTTCCAACCTGATGAAATTATTTACGGGCCAATTTGATACTGTCTTTTTGCCAACGAAAGGGATCTGCTGGGAGATGATTACCGACTAGCCGCCCACGTGGAGATGCGCTCAGCTCTTCTCTGAGCACGAGGTCCTTAAGAAGGGGAATAAATTTGCATCAAGGAGAGGCCGAAAGGTTAATTTGGAGTTTGATTGGTCAAGGACCAAAAGGGAGTTAATTAAGATTCTAATTGGTTAACGTCCACGTGGGTTTACTAACCAGAGTCGGCAGAACGTACTGCACCTGCGCGAAACTCGTAGTGTATATTACATAGCACTTCGGTAGAACGTTTCATATAAGGTCGTATTCGTGCATATAAGGTTAACATCTCGTCTGTAGTTTCCAAATGTTATGTTGGGAAAGATATCCTCTGCAGCAGGCAAAATTCCAATGCAGCGTTGACCAAAAATCCACCGAAAAGCGTAAAAATGTGGGGTTCTTCGAAGGCGCAGTACATTCTGCCGACGTGCTGAGTGACGTAATGTTCGGATGACGTCACTCAGGCGAGATCCATTTGCTTCACCAAACGTGAAGGTCTCGAACCCCAAAAATCCTTTTGTGTGTAATGAATGAAATCAAATATACACATCTGTTGTGGATGTTGCAACGTTACAGGGTATATGGAAAGGACGGGCCAGTCCACCTGACCCAGAGCTACCACCATGGTCTGGATACCACCCGGCTCCTGGGCGTCACCATCGGACAGAAACTCCAACAGACCGTTCAAGAGTTTCCCGATCGGGAGATGCTCGTCTTCAAAAGAGGCAACGTTCGTAGGACGTTCCAGCAGTTTTTTGAAGAGGTAATTTAACGTAATGTCGTAACAAAAGTTTGTTACTCCGTGAAGGAGGTCAGGACCTCCGGACGGAGTGTTGTGATCGGCTGATTTTTCATGTTCGCAGTCAAAACACTGGGTTCTCTTTGTGTAATCGGCACGCAATTTTATACGCCGTCTGCGGGCATGCCCGTGTTGATGCACGAATGTGTATTTTTGCCGTTGCTGCTTTTGCGGTCAATGTAATATTGCAGACGCACCCCTACAATTACGAGGCGAATTGGAATGGTCCAGAAAAACGCGTTGTTTGGAATAGCAGTGGGGGGTGGAACTTCATGCAGATACGGGGTGGTTTTGATAAGTGGTTCCAGATGTTTTTGGCCATGGTTAAGAGATGCCAAGTTTTTTGGAAGATGTTCGCAGCCAAAACGCATTCTTCCGTACGTCGCATTTCTGTGTAATTTCGCATTTGGTGTGGCATTATGTCCGGGATGATGCACGTCTTTTATTTTTACCGTAGCTGTTTTGATATTGAAGTAAATGCATATTTTAGAAACATCCCTACTTTTACAATCCTGTGGAATAGGCCGTAGGTTTAGGCAGTTGTCTGGTAGCAGAGGTACTGTAAGCAGATATCCTGGTTATCTGGCCGGCAGTAGTAACACTCGCGGTGCTTACCGCAACTGTTGCTGGAATTTCGCCTGTTCCAGGCGCGCTTAATTAGGTACAGGCACGGTAAGACGGTGGGGCTGTTTTTGTTACTAGATACGACCATGATAGTCCGATCTTTATGTGAATGCAATGATTGTGTGTGTGTAATTAAAATGAACTTCGAACTTGAAGCACAGTATCTTTACACGCCCTGGGAGCAGTAATGGATTTAGCTCTTTGTATGTTTTATGCTTGTGACGCGCCCTCATTGTATTAACCGTTGCCTAATTATAATGTCTGCACAGTAGGTCTGGCGTTGACGCTTGGGATTTTGTTGAAATATATAAAACTTCACGGAGGATTGTCACCTATGGCTTCTTGTTTTGTTTAAAGTTAAAACTTTTGGTCCAACACAAAAATTCTCTCACCTAAACCCTTCGACCAGTCACTCTGGTCTTCCTCAGTAGACTGATCAAGAGGAAGACCGGAGTGACTGGTCGAAAGCTCTAGGTGATAGAATTTTTTGTGTTGGACCATAAGTTTTAACTTTAAACATGTAACTACCAACACAGATGAACTTTCATGATAGTAAAAATTAGTTTTCATGCTTATTCTTCGATGCGAAGTTTTTACTGTGAAATAATTCTTAAAAAGTAATCTTGACTTTACATATGACGTGTTCGCTACTATGCTATGTTGGATACTAGTAGCTAAACCAGAAAATTCCAGGTAAATTTGAATATATTGATCCCAAACTCCACCCACCTCCGTCAAAACGTGGAAGTGCAAAACAAACAATATAAAGAGAGGACCTTTAATGATGATGATGCGTACGTTCTGCCGACATTCATATGCTCACGACAAGACTGATAATACTCTGTGTTTGTCCGCAGTGTGACCAGTTGGCCGCCGGGTTGGTTGCCCTGGGACTAAGGAAGGGGGACCGGGTGGGGATATGGGCACCCAACACCCTTGAGTGGGTTTTGACACAGTTCGCCACGGCCAGGGCTGGCTTGATCATGGTAAGCACCACCAAGAAATTAATGAGTTTTCACTTGAACAACAACATGCCACTGCAACTATTATTACTCCGTGAAGGAGGTCAGGACCTCCGGACGGAGTGTTGTGAACGGCTGGTTTTTCATGTTCGCAGTCAAAACACTGGGTTCTCTTTGTGTAATCGGCACGCAATTTTATACGCCGTCTGCGGGCATGCCCGTGTTGATGCACGGATGTGCATTTTTGCCGTTGCTGCTTTCGCGGTCAATGTAATATTGCACACGCACCCCTACAATTACGAGGCGAATTGGAATGGTGCAGAAAAACGCGTTGTTTGGAATAGCAGTGGGGGGTGTGGAACTTCATGCAGACGTGCGGAGGGTCAATAAGTGGTACCATAGATGTTCGCAGCGAAAACGCATTGTTCTGTACGAAACATTTCTGTGTAATTTGGCATGTGGTGTGCCATCAAGCTCGTGGTGATGCACGTCTTTTTATTTTTATTCCAGCAGTTTTGATATTGGAGTAAATGCTTATTTTTGAAAGATACCTATAATGTCGTTGAAATGGTTTTGCCCGGGTATCTGACCGGCGGCAGTAACACTCGCGCGTGCTGGCCGCGACTTTGGCATGGAAAATAGCACTTCCTTCTGGAGGTTAGTACTCCTTCAATAAGTAACAGGCACGGTAAGACGGTGGGGCTGTCTTTTTGTTACTAGTGACACGACCATGATAATGATAGTCCGATCTTTATGTGAATGCAATGATTGTGTGTGTGTAATTAAAATGAACTTCGAACTTGAAGCACAGTATCTTTACACGCCCTAGGAGCAGTAATGGATTTGGGTCTTTTTATGTTTTATCATTGTGACGCGCCCTCATTGTATTAACCGTTTCCTAATGTCTGCACAGTAGGTCTGGCGTTGACGCTTGGGATTATTTTTGTTGCAAAATATAAAATTTCACGGAGGATTGTCACCTATGGCTTCTTGTTAAGTTTCAATTGAGTTATCAAGTCATGATCTAGTTATTCAGAGTTTGTTTTTGCATCGTTAGAAAATTATGATAATTAAATAGTATATTTTTTAAACAAAGCTTGTAGTTATCTATGGTAATACTTAGTCTCGATAAGTCGCTCGATTTAAAATATAGTTTTCTACAGAAAGCGATAAAATGTTGCCTTACAACGTTATTCTCGGTTGGGTTAAGGCGGCCTAGGCTGATATTCATGTTCGAGTTCCGCCGTGTGTCTGCACAATTGCCACAAACTTGTTTCGAACCCGAATCATGTTCCACCATGTTCGATATGACGTCATTCGAATAGAAAGCGTGTTCGAATTCGGGGTTACCGGCGGTCATTTGTATGTTCCCCTGTAAACCCGCGTTGTTACGCATTTTATTCACGGAGTATGACCTAAACGTACGGCTTTACGCGCAGCTGAAAACAGCATGATTAATCTTTAGAGTAATCCATGTTTATGTATTATCACTTTTTAATCAAATTTGTCCGAGGCTATTTTGCATATAAGTCGATATTTTTTAACTGTGGCGATTTTTAAACGAAAAATGACAGAAAAATAGCTGTTTCTGTCGTTTTTGGTCCAAAAAAACAATGTAACTGTCATTTTAAACAAAATAGCCTCGGACAAAAATAATAAATAGGGGGTTGGCTTTCAACTTGTGAAATATCATGATGAAAGGTGTTGTTACCGCTTACGCTTAAAGCCATGAAGTAAACAGCTTTTTTTTAACCAAAATGTTGATTTTTAACCCAAAAATCCAGAAGTAGTAAAAACAAAATAACCTTTATTCAATTTGTTTCAAGTACTACTAGAACTGTGTGAAGTTTATTTGTGGTGCGATCAAGCTATCAAAAGTTAGAGGCATATGTATGAAATACTACTCATAGTATGCCATAGGCTGCCTTAACCCAACCGAGTTTCATTGTGTCTTTTTCTGTAAATTTCAAATTTGGTAATTTCTCCGTTCAAGGTCAGTATCAACCCAGCTTATCAAGTCAACGAGCTGGCCTTTGCACTAAAAAAAGTAAGTAAACAACATGCAGGGCCTTCCTTCCTCTCAGATGCGATACGGATTTAGTACTTAGTTTGCAATGTTGAAAGTACTTTTCCGTCTTTGCCATCCCTAACCTTGTTCTATACCTAGCTACAACTTGGTCTGAAATAATAACGATAAATGTGCACACTGAATTACAACCTTCTCATTGTCTTCACAAATACGTGTACATTTGTAAACTTAGACCGTTCCCAAAGCCAGGCCCCCCTTAGCAACGCCCTACCAAATCCTGTTATTGGCCGAATCGTTGAATTTGAATGACAGCCGGGGACGGTTTATTCACCTGGCATGTTCTAGGTTTAACCTTCCATGTTGTGAACATCAGATAACATGCTTTGCTTATGTTTCTTAGGTTGGCTGTCGTGCAGTCATCTCAGCCACTGCCTTTAAGACGCAAGATTATTACAAGATGCTCCACCAGATATGCCCTGAACTGGAGAGATGCAAGGCTGGGCAGCTGGAAGCGAAAAAGTATTGTATCTACTCCTCTGTTCATACTAAGCCTTGTAATTCGGATTCAGGACTAAGGCCTTGTTCATGGGAAGCCACCCAAACCGCGATTCGGGTAACTCACATTGCTCACATCTGGTGCACGTACCACACATTCCTTTCAAACCGTGCCCGACCACGATTCTCTGAAACTGCATTCATTGCTGTACGATGAAAACACGCAAGGTAGCGTGTTATAAATGTCAGAGGTCAACGACCTGCTTGCTGATGCCCCCCTCCCAGCGTAGGTCCCACCAGAGGCGGTAAAGCTCGCCCTAGAACGGACACATTATTTGACCATTACTTCTCTTTAAGTTGCTGCCACGTAAAATTTGGTATTGCATATAAATAAAGAAATATCACCCCGTAATCCATGACCAGTTGAAGTCACATTGAAATCAAATTGCGTTCAGACGTAAATCGCGATGTGGGAAAACCGATTCGAAACCACCTCTAGAAGTGGTTTCGGATCAAGGCGCTTTCAATGTGATTTGGAGCGTTCAGATGGGCCCACTTGAAACCGGCTTCGGGGGAAACCACAGGTAAAGCGCCTTCACTGACTTCATATGAACAGGGCCTAATGTATACGTAGCCCCGTCAGAACGCTCCAAGTCACATTGAAATCAACTCGATTTCAAACCTCGTCCGGGAGGTATTTTCAAGCCGGATTGAGCGCATCGCGATTTTATTCTGTTTTTTTTTTGCATATTACGGCCACGAGTCACAGGGAAACGTAAAAAACAAGAGCGTGTACGTTGATTTCGTCGTTGAGATGACCGAGAAAGTCTACGCGAATAACTGGAATCAGTGCCGTACAATTAAAAAGAAAAAGATCTTGAAGAACAATTACAAAAAGCCGGCGCAACACCATCAAGACCGATGGACCTCTGACATTTCTACGACACGAGTCTTTTAATTAAACTACAAGGAAATGGAGAAAGCACCGACTTGCAGTTGGGTACTATTTCGGCCTTGTTCATATGAAACCACCCGAACCGCGATTCGAGTAACTCACATTCCTCACATCTGGTCCACGTGTCATACATTCCTTTTAAAACGTGCCCGATTCGAAACAACATTGTTTGACCTAGCGTGTTATCATTGGCCGTGTTTAAGTGGAATCACCCAAGGCGGTTTACATGTTGTTTACCCCGAAGCCGGTTTCAAGTGGCTCCATCTGAACGCTCCGAAATCACATTGAAAACGCCTCGATCCCAAGCCACTTCTAGAGGTGGCTTCGAATCGGGTTTCCCGCATCGCGATTTGCGTCTGAACGCAATGTGATTTCGCCTGGTTATGAATTACGGGGTGATATTTCTTTATTTATATGCAATTACCAACTTTTATGTGGCAGCAACTTAAAGAGCAGTAATGGTCAAATAATGTGTCCGTTCTAGGGCGAGCTTCACCGCCTCTGGCGGGACCATGTCGGCATTCGGCCGAGATATGCTGGGAGGGGGGGGGGCATCAGCAAGCAGGTCGTTGACCTCTGACATTAAGAACACGCCACCTTGCGTGTTATCATCATACAGCAATAAATCTAGCTCAAGCGAATTATGTTCGGACACGGTTTCACAGGATTGTGTGGCACGCGGACCAGATATGAGGAATGTGAGTTACCCGAATCGCGGTTTGTTCCACTTAAACACGGCCATTGTCAAAAGTCAGCGACCTGCTTGCTGGTGCCCCTCTCCCAGCGTATCTCGGCCGAATGCCGACGTAGTCCCGCCAGAGGCCGTGAAGCTCGTCATAGAACGAACGCATGATTTGACCATCACTGCTCTTTAAGTTGCTGACACGTAAAATTTGGTGTTGCATATAAATAAAGAAATATCATCCCGTAATCCATGAGCAAGTGAAGTCACATTAAAATCACATTGCGTTCAGACGCAAATCGCGATGCGGGAAAACCGATTCGAAACCACCTATAGAAGTGGTTTGGGATCGAGGCGTTTTCAATGTAATTTGGAGCGTTAAGATGGAGCCACTTGAAACCGGTTTCGGGATAAACCACATGTAAAGCGCCTTCACTGACTTCACATGAACACGGCCTAATATGTAGCCCCGTCAGAACGCTACAAGTCACATTGAAATAGATGTGCTCGTTTTCAAACCACGTCCGGAGGGTAGTTTCGAGCCGGATTGAGCGCATCGCGACTTTATCCTGTTTACTTAACATATTACGGCCACGCGTCACGGCGAAACGTACAAAAGCGTGTACAAAAGGTTGTCACGGAGATGAAGAACTGGCCATGTAATCAGTGCTGTAGAATAAAAAAAAAATCATGAACAACAAACACAAAAAGCCGGCGCAACACCATTAATACCCGGTCCGATGGACCTATTGCTATGACGCCAGTTTGAAATTTTTAATTAAAATACAAGGAAGTGCAGGAAGTACCGACTTACAGTTAGGTACGTGCATCAGGTGTGAGGCACGCGGCTCACCTGAATCCGATTTGCAAGGTTTTGTACAAATAAGGCCTAAGTAGATGAGTAGTGGCTTCGATCTTTTTCTGGATGGTGTTGCGATATGATCTTTCATGCCAATGATTGTTATTGTTCAATATGTTTTCCACTGGGTTCCTTTGCGTGTTGGCATGATACAGTATCGTGGTAAGCACAGGTCGTTAGCTGGTTATGTAACATAAATAAACCTGCCCATAAAGAAGGGTATTCCATGGAAATCGGCATTGTAGCTGACAACACCATATTCCCCAGCTACACATACCTATAACTATGGTATTTTTCCCATCTGTAATTGCCATATATCGTCATATCCTGCTATGATGTTCTATGTACCCGGGTATCAATGCCAAGTGTATTGTAACAAAAAAGCACAACATGTGGAAGAGTTTGATAAAAATCAGTCTTAAAGTTTATTCCAGGACAGAATCAATCAAATCAAGATGTCAGCAGAAAAGATACAATTTGATAAGATTATATCACTATATAAACCCAGGTTGCCCATGTTGGAAACAGTCATCATGCTTGGCGAGGAGAATTTTCCAGGAACCTTCTCGTTCCCAGAGGTTATGAAGATGGGGGACCACGCCCACAGAAAAACTGTCCTGGAGATGCAGGACAAGCTGCAATTTGATGATCCAATCAACATCCAGTTTACATCGGTGAGTTAAAGTGTGTCCACTAATAAACAAGCTCCCGGTTTACTTTCCCGGTTGAGCCTATTGATTCTGTAGTCAGAGCATAGCCATTACTTGATAACTCCGCAAGAAACAGCATTTCCTCATACGACTGATGACACGGGTGTATACCAGACAGCATGTTTAGAGGAAATTGAAAGATGAGTGAAATATTTTGTATTTGCCAGCAAATGTTGCCTTCCTTTTTGACTATGGGTTGTCCTACAGGGAACTACAGGGAGGCCGAAGGGAGCAACCTTAACCCATCATAACATCGTGAACAACCAATGGTTCCTAGGACGTCGACTGGGGTACCATGAAATGGTATGTGTCATTACCTGGCAGAAAATTATTGTTTTATTGGGTGGGCTGGTCTATGAATGTGTGTGTGTGTGTCTGTGTGTGTGTCTGTGTGTGTGTGTGTCTGTCTGTCTGTCTAGGTGTGTGTGTGTGTGTGTGTGTGTGTGTGTGTGTGTGTGTGTGTGTGTGTGTGTGTGTGTGTGTGTGTGTGTGTGTGTGTGTGTGTGTGTGTGTGTGTGTGTGTGTGTGTGTGTGTGTGTGTGTGTGTGTGTGTGTGTGTGTGTGTGTGTGTGTGTGTGTGTGTGTGCGTGCATGCGTGCGTACGTGCTTGCCTGCAGTAGGGTCTATTTCAGGAACGGTGATGGATATTCGATTAATATTGTTTAACAAAGTGGTCAAGCCTGAAGGTGACCCAGCACGATCTGGGTACGAATGACTAAATAGGAGGGCGGTACGTGGAGAAATTCAGAAGGTGGTGGACTGTGTGTAAGGTCCGATTAAATTAAGTGACACAATCTACACGCAGTTCCAATACATGCACGAAATCTAAAACGCGTTACATCTGAATTTTCTGAATTCTCGTTTCATGCCTATTTCATGGAGGAGAAACATGACTTGCATGTGCCACAGAGCAAGGAGGATTTTCACAAAGAATTGAACGTGTTGCCCGTTTCGCTAAGAAAAGATATTAAAGGCACAATGTTCTACTTTTCTTGTTGTCAGCACCACAAGCTTTGCATGCCGGTCCCGTTGTATCACTGTTTCGGCATGGTGATGGCCTGCATGGCTGCAGCTGTGTTTGGTACTACGATTGTATCCCCTTCGCCCAGCTTTGAGCCCGAACCAACTTTACAGGCCATCCAAGAGGAGAGGCAAGTAATAACGCTTACCTAGTACTCAATGTGGAGAGCCATTTGTCATATTCCAATGGCTTGTTTTCTTAGTGTACGGAGATTTTGTTTCGGTCTGATTGCATTTTTCTTTGCTTGTTTGTCAGTGGGTTTTCGGACAAAAGTCACAGGAAGTGAGCGGAGGGATGTTATAACCGCAGACTGAGAAACCATAGACTGAGAGGGAGTGAGGGCGAAGTTAAGGTTAAATTGGTCTCCCCGTAGACTGGGAGGAAGTGAGGCCAAGTTGAAGGTCACAATGGTCCATAGGGGGTCACAATTGCCCATAGGGGGACACAATTGCCCATAGGGGGTCACAATTGCCCGTAGGGGGAAGTGAATGGTACGATGGAGGAGCTCAGGAACTACACGTATCTCTATTCTTTCTACTGTGAAATTCTTCTTGCCAAAGTAACTGTTATGTACGACTGGAATTATACTACTGACACATTTGATGCCAGACGCAGAATATTATGCTACTCCTTTGTTGATAGGCTAAACAAAATCGACAACAGCATAATACAGTGTCTTCTGATGTCAGATTGTCAGTAACGAAAATAATATGCTGTATGTATAGTTTGTGTTTCTATGTTTGTACCGTTGTTTTCTATGGGCGAAATACCTGAAAGAAAGACATTCATTTATTCATTCATTCATTCATTCATTCATTCATTCATTCATTCATTCATTCATTCATTCATTCATTCATTCATTCATTCATTCATTCATTCATTCATTCATATGTATATAAAGGCTGGAATCTTACCTTTTCCAAATTAACAATGTCTTCAAGCTTTCCAAGTTCAAGTGATAACTGTGAAGTGGCCGTTTATTTTCATACCCATTTGCATTTCATTATACTTTGAATCTTACTTGTTATCATATCTTTTAGCTGCACATCCATATACGGCACCCCGACCATGTTCATCGACATGCTTCATCATCCCAATTTTGACAAGTACAGGTTGACGAGTCTAAACACCGGTAAGGATTTTGAATTCGTGTATACACCAGTGAGAAATATAACCACATAACAACGCCGGTGAGAGATTCATGCATAACAACACTGAGAGAGCGATTGAGATATGAATACTCGTACCACAAAGGTTTCTACCTTGCCTTTTCTGTCATTCAAACAAGCTCTGAAAAACCATCTGATAAACCAACTGTAGTAGTTTCATTATTACCTCCATGAAATGTGTCATGGAGGTTATATTTTCAGTTGCGTTTAACTGTCCGTCCGTCTGTCCGTCTGTCTGTTGGTCAACAAGATAACTCAAGAACGCCTGGATGGATTGGTTTCATACTTGGTGTGTTGGTAGGGTGTGACGAAAACTGGAAATGATGAGATTTTGGTCCCCCTAGTGGCTTCCCTTGGTACTGCAGGGCAACTTCCGGTTTTGATATCTCGCCATCTGGACATGCTAGGGTCATGAAATTTTGATGGAAGGTAGCTCTCGTGCTTGGGAAGAAGTCATATGAGTTTGGGCCCCCTAGCGGCTTGTTCTGGAACTGCAGGGCACTTTCTGGCAAAATGTTTAAAAGCCAATAAGTCCAGACAGGAACAACGAATTTTCATTATTTTTGGTGTGTAGGTAGCTGAGAGAGAGATGTACATAATTAAATGCAAATTATGCAAATGAGGACTTTATTTGCATAATTAATGAGGAAATTCTATAATAACAGTGTTTTACATTATACTACTTACATACATGTATTGTATGTAACCTATGGCAGGCGGAACTTCAACAGATACTAATTATGCAAATGATGACCTAATTTGCATAATTAATGCGAAAATTCTATGATTTCGTAATGGTGAATGATGAGAATGTCATACTTGGGACATCTGTAAGTTAATCAAAAGTTAACATACATCACGATGCATATATCATGTTAATGCAGAGGTCATTTGCACAATTAAAGAAGAAATTTACATTTACATATCAAGATCATATTTCGTGGAGGTATGAGATCTCGGATTTCTAGTTTTAACTTATAAAAATTATTATCATTATCATTATCATTATTGCACTGTATTTATAACCTACATTACCTTACTCCATTGTCGTTAGTTCATACTGTATATTATTTGATTATCCTTATTGTATTATTTCTACTTTCTATTGTATTATTTCCATTTATTGTTTATATATATTTAATTTTGTATAGTTTAGAGAAGGAGGGCCTTGTATAAGCATTCCATGCTTCTCCCATCCTTCTGCCCTTGTTTTTATCCTTGTTTTGTATTATTACTGTCTGTTTTGTTTAATGTGCAAACTAATAAAATCAAATACACGTGAGAGATTAAGATATTAGCACCAACGAGTGGTCTGTTTACAGTTACTTCAATTCAAGTTCTTTATTCTAAACCGTAAAACATGAAATAGAAATTAGTACCTGAGGTCAGTAATTTCTGGTTGGTTGAACACGTACGTCGAGTCATGGCGTCAGACCTGTAACTTTGGATGCACATATGATGTCATCATTTCTTGACCTTATTTGCATATGCAAATTCAAATCTACCTGCAGCAGGTCATAGTCACGTGGATTTGAAACTTTTTTCTATATATTCCAACATGTAATCACAAGACGTGATGGGAACACACTCAAGTTTTTTTTTTCAACCTATAATAATTCCGCCACCAACACATGGGACAACACAACACTCATTTTTACTTGAGCGAAGTGAGGAAAGTGCATTTTTCAAGTGCACAAGATCAATGGCATGTCAAGACTCGAACCCGGGACCTATTGGTTCCGAGTCGAGAACTCGTTACTCCACGCGACCCTAAAATTCGAAACTTCATATTCACTTACTTTCTGTTGTTTGTTTGAATAGGATTGATCGGAGGGTCATACTGCCCTGCAGAAGTTGTGAAAAAGGTGGTGTCCAAAATGCACTGTCCTGAAATCTGTGTAAGTACAATTGTTTACTTTCGTATCGTCATAGCCAGAATGTTGGTTTGATAAACCTGAGACAGTCATAACCATACCTTTCTATGTGTATAATTTAAGTAGCTATATCTACATGTACACATTCAAATGTATCTGTCAACGTTCACGTGTAATCGTCCAGCATGGCGGACAGTATTTAGTCACGTGAGTGCTGGTTGATAGCTCAGGCTCATTCTTGTTTGTGTTTTCAGATTCCATACGGCACGACTGAGAACAGCCCTCTAACCTTTTTGGGTTACAAGTCTGACAGTCTGGAGACTAAATGTAACACTATAGGACAACCTTTCCCTCATGTAGAGGTAGGTGATTTGTTGCTCTAAAGCGCCTCTCACATGTTTTGCTCCTGACAAAACTAAAGAGCTAAGGTGGGCAGCTAAGGTCGGCAGTAGGTATGAGGAAATGCCTCCACCAGGCCTTTTTACGGGAAAACGGATCGTAGAATTCGGCAAAAAAGAGAGTAAAATTGGCCAAGGTAGTCCGGTCGCGGGGAGGTAGTTTCTGTCAAACCCCAAGGCTGCCAAACTCCCCCGGCAAATATTCTCCTATATATAGCCAGCGTAGTTAGTCTGGGTCATCCCCTGAGTCACCTGACAAGTCTGGCTGAGAACCGCCCTGGGTGGATAACTCTTGTGGACAGTTTAGTTGCCCGACGGCAGGACAGACTGCTACGGGACCGGTGAGGTGAGTTAGTCTGGTAGAGACTAGGCAGTAGGCTGGGAGAAGCCCGGAATTCTATTTTAGCTCCAATTTGCTCTTCTGGTCGCACCGAAGATTAAGAAAGAAGAACATACTTTTTCTGTCTTTAATTTTTCAAAACCCACAGTCAGCTTGTACAGATAACTTTGAAAACGTAGACAACCACACCGACTAAGTCTCAACCACAGATACTCATGACTACCTATCAACCGCGGTTTGGAGACGGTCCGCTATGTTCGACCGTGGCTTAATAGGCGTGTAAAGCGTTTTGCGAGCTACAACAATAGCCGACTTTTCACCAGTCTGGAGAGGTCCTTACCAGCAACAAGCAATGTGTTTTTGATGTGTCTGTGTGTGTGTCTGTCTGTCTGTGTGCGTTTCCGCACATTTGTAGTCAGCATAACTTCAGAACGTCTTTATGGATTGTAATGACGTCTGGTATGTTGGTATATGATATGACTGGTTTATTGATGACAATGTAAAACAGTTTTGCAGAACCCAGGGGTTCTGAATTGCACTGTTACTCACAATTACAAAGATTAAGACTAAAGACGTAGCCCATCCCATTAAAAGCTTTAAAATCAAACAACATCTATCACAACATATACACATATGATAAAATCTAAAGTAGAGTTTACAAGTGTTAATAAGTTTGCATTGCAGAATAAAATACTTATTAAGATTCGTAGGTAAAACAGTGGTCATAAAGACGGCTACTAAACAAAACGTGTTATTAAAGCATGGTAGCTACCCCTCAATGACTGGAAGGTCGTTTACCGAGTACACTCGATTACTTATTTAGTAGGCTAACAATATATGGGATGGAGCTGTTGCGGTAGCGCTGAGTCTTTGCAACAATACAGTTCAGTTTGTGGCTAGTTCGGGTTTTCCGCCCGCTGACTTCGCCCCGAGATGGAGGGAGCCAGTGTCTGAAGGAAGCAGAGTTCAGTAGACTGAGTCCGAACTTCGTACACAGCAGTTCTCTCCTTGTTTCAAGGGTAGACAGGCCGAGGACTGTAAGTGCTTCAGGGTAACGGGTGTACTTCTTGCCCAGAATGGTGCGGTATGCGCGGCGTTGAACTGTCTCTAGACGGGTTGACTGGAGTTTGGTGAGACCAGGGTTCCATACCGGTACAGCGTACTCGCACAAGGGGCGCACGTAACATGTATAAACGGTGACAAGATCTGTCTCGGGGATCTTGAACTTCTTAAACCGTCGTAGGATGAATAACCGTTTACTGCTCTGTTTCACCATGTGGGTAACATGACTGCCCCACTTTAGGTCCCTCTGTACCCAGACTCCCAGTAACTTGGCTGCAGTAACTTCTTGAAGGACGTGGCCCGCTAACTGAAGTGGGGTGGGGGTGGGGGAGGTGTTCTTCTGAAAACGAAATGCATCACCTTGCATTTGTTTGGGTGTAGTTTCATGTAGTTTGCACTGGACCATAGATCGAGGGCATTTAGATCTTGTTGTAGGTTTGACTGTGCTTTGACTGATCTGCTTTCAACCATGTTCAGATCGTCCACAAATTTCCAGTGGAGTGATCGGGCGGTGCTTGCTGCGCTATTGATGATAGCAATGAACACTATGGGCGCGAGGACGGTGCCCTGGGGAAGTCCACATGTCAGCGTCCTCCATTCAGACAGTGTGTCCTGGTAGAGGACGCGTTGATTCCTCCCCGTCAGGAAATCCCCCAGTCATGGAAGAAGGGAGGGTCGGCAGCCAAGATATATGAGACTCGAGATTGCGGTTGTGTGATCTACTCGATCAAACGCTTTCGCGAAGTCAGTCAGGACCAAGTGTCTCTCAGGTCTGAGGTCTTGTATAGCTGGTTTAGGATGTCTACAAGACAATGGGTTGTTGTTCGCCCCGGGATACCGCCAAACTGTCTGGGGTCAAGGTGTGGGGTGATGTCTGTCAGGATCCATTTGGCAATAAAGCTGTCACATGTTTTTGCTAGAAGGGAAGTCAGTGAGATGGGTCTCAGGTCGTGTAAGGTAGGTGGGTTTGTTTTAGGTAGGGGTATCACGGTTGCTTCGTGCCATTCTTGAGGGACACGTCCTTCCGCCAGGGAAATGTTAGTAGGTCGTAAGAAGACAAAAGTCAATGTCAAATATGGACCTCCTGGTGACTGACCTTGGTACTGCAGCAGAACTTCCGGTTCTTCTGTCTTTTGTCCTGAACGTGCTATGGTCTTGGATTTTTAATGACAGAATAAGTGGTGTGGGTTTTAGCACCCTAACAGCGTTTTACATAATACTACTTTAATATAATGCAATGTATATAATCTACGGCAGGTGGAACATCAACAGATGCCAAAACGTAATTTGCATAATTAATTTGAAAATTCTTTGATTTCTTAATGGTGAATATTGGGAATTTTACACCTTGTGACATGTGTAAGTTACTTAAAGGTTAACATCACAATGGATATTTAGTGTTAAAATAAAGGTCGTTTTCACAATTAATAAGGACATGTTTAATTCAAATATTGCCAATGGATAGAGGTTTAAAAATATTGTAATTTGAGTTTAGAAAACCATAAATTAAACTAGATTATGGTAATTACGACCTTTTTTCCTTAATCAATTAGAAAAAAAACTTACATAAACTAAATATTGAGTGGAGGTATAAGATCTCCGAATTCTTGTTTAAATTATACCTCTAAAATGGCTGAGAAAAAAAGATGAACCAGCTACTGTCCTTGATGTGCTCTTTATTGTCAGTACTTCATCAGATTTTAGCCCTGTAGTCAGTTCCACATGTCAATAAAGAAACTGTAACCCAATCCACTTTTCCATATAATTTCGTCAGGTTGTTTCTAGAGTAGACCGATCCCATAGCCCGTCCACCCCCGCCAAAACGTAGACATGCAAATATTTGACGGACATGCAGAGACTCTCTTATTGGTCTATCTGCTAATTGCCATGTTCTCATTGGTTCAACTGATAATTGTGCGTGGCAGTCAGGATTGGCGTATTTTTGTGTTGCAGGTAAAAATCGTAGACACGAATGGAGAGGTAACGCCTGTGAACGAGCCTGGCGAACTGTGCACGCGGGGACACGGCACCATGCACGGGTACTGGGACGACACAGACAAGACTGCTGAAGTCATCGGGCCTGACAGATGGTACAGAACCGGGTACGTTTGTTTTATGATTTCTCACAGAGTGTGAGGAGAGTAAAGAGTTTAATCATCCAAGCATTTGACAATAAAAACACTTTTTTAAACTCAAGACATCTTTTATTGACAAATGAAATATACAGTCAAATGATACATATTTACATGTGGTAAACAATGTTTACATTACACCTCTCAAGGGACATTCGTTTCCAAATAATATCGTAATATTTCCATTGTATTCACCATACTTGTACGTACAAATTGTAAACTTTCCAAGTAATATCAGTACGTTAATATAGTGAAATTTTACAATATCGTAAAGTTCGTAACCGACGATAACATCATGTACAGATAACTATAATGTGTTTCCATATTTGATAATTGATACAATAACGCTTTTCTATTTCTAACCAAATGGGTTTTACATTGTCTCAATAATAAAAAAGTCGTTCTCTGAGAAACCCTGTTTATGTAATTTATATATATATAATTAACCCTAGTCGGGTAGACATTATTTGACATTTTCCACCGTACTGAACGAATTCTAGGTACCTTTATAACAAGAAATAAAGATTTCCATATTGTCTTCCAGGGGGTGGATTGAAAACGCTTTTCCCAAAAACTTTGGCCAGTAGGCGTGACTGCTTTCTGAAAAAAAGTAGAATGAAAACAATAAGTTTTAAAAGTTACAATAAAGACATATAATAATGTGGATGTGTTGAAGAGACGTAGCAGTGTTGGACGAGCAGGGCTATGGACGGATTGTGGGGAGAATTCAGGACTTGATCATTCGAGGGGGAGAAAACATCTATCCACGCGAGATCGAGGAATTTCTGCACACACATCCAAAGGTGGAGGATGTACAGGTTAGTCGTCTTCTCATACAGCAGGTAGTGGAACTTCCGTCTTCTAATCCAGCAGTAAGTGGAACTTCCATTTGTTTCGTTGAAAACTGATCTTGATCTGCATCTCAATGTTGTATTTTTGTATTCCTGTATTTTTGCCCGAGCTGACATCACCCAGCACGTCTGCAGAATATACTGCAGCTGCGCGAAACCTGTAATGTAGTGTACATTGCAAAGACTTCGGCAGAATGTCTTATATAAGGTTGTATTCGCTCATATAAGGCTTGCATTTCGACAGTAATTTCCAAATGTTGTGTCGAAAAAGATATCCTCTGCAACAGGCGAAATTCTGCTGAAACGTTGACCAAACATCCAGCGAAAAACGTGAAAATCCAGGGTTCTGCGCAGGCGCAGTACGTTCTGCCGACGTGCTACATCAACCCCATCACTCAGCACAGAAATGCAAAAATAAAATATAGAGATGCAAATAGAGATGCCCGAGGGTGATAGTAAGGCTTGCAGGAACGTTTCCAAAAAGTCACTTTTGGAAGGCCGTACAAACTCAATGCCTCAGTCATCATAATAAAAACCTACTGTCTATCCTAGTCTAATAATATCATACTTATTGTTGGAGTCATGCCCATGTTCAGTTTACAGGATGCCTATATGGTGATAAATTCACTGCCAACTATTACAACATGCATTTGTCAACAACAGTTTAAAAAGTTTTCAATTATTATACATGGTTTTGATTCAAAGGAAACATCACATGTAAAATGAATTAAGCACAACACTGTATCTAAGTTAGAGATTAACTTACTTACCTAATCCTCTTCGCTCCCTGTGGATCATAAGGTGCTGACATACTGAAATGTATTTATGTAATGTATTTAAAGCGTTTATGTATCATCAGAGAAATTTGTGTCAAATAACTGTGTCGTTATTATAATCTTAATTTCCCATCTTATCCTCGGTGTATATAATCCCTGGTCAGGTGTGATAACAACATTATAAACGACCTCATTCGCTATGCTCACTCGGTGGTTTATTCGGTGGTTATCGAACCTGAGCAGGTACATGTATTATCTCATCGTATACACATCAGGGTGGGTCATTAACCCTTTAGTATTAAGCTTAGCTAAATGATGTCTGATAATTTTGATTGATACATGTAGGTTTGAACGGTGTACAACTTAACCAGAGGTCAACATTTTCGATAGTAAAGTATGAACTTCCACAAATTATAGGTGATAGGAGTACCGGACGAGAGGATGGTGGAAGAAGTCTGTGCCTGGATCAAATTGAAGGAAGGGGAGATTCTGGGCGAGGATGACGTCAAAACCTTCTGCAAGGGACAGGTGAAAATTTTTAAACATTTGTCATACCTAGTTTTTGTTACGCAATCTCTCGCTGGTTGGGCATCCTCCCCGAGAACATGTGGCCATACACTCCTAACTCAAGAAAACCTTTCGTACACCCATAACAACCAACGGAAGATTGGGATTTTTAGTCACCATAAATATCAGTCCAAAAAAGCTCAGGATTCTCTGGTAATATGGACACCAGTCATCACAGCATTCAATACTATGGTAACATACAGTTCTCAGTATGACAATAATTGGTCCATGATACATTGTGCTTCTTTAAATTCCTTTTCAGATATCCCATTTCAAAGTTCCACGCTACATCATATTTGTAAAAGAATTCCCACTGACAGTTACTGGAAAGGTGAGTTTTTATTTGTCTAGCAGACATCAGTTTTTAGTAGTGACTCTGGTTTTGTGACATATATAATCTGCACAATGATATAAACAGGAGATTTAATGCATGCTTATGAGAATTTGTACTCGATTAGACGCTATTGGACAAGTAACTTGTGAAATACATCAAGACCATACTTAAAATATATGACAGGAAGGTCAGTATGTTGATGCATGTTGCGTTTCAGGTGCAGAGCACAGTTTTTATATTGCAACATTCAGGTTCAAAAGAGAATATTTTGTTTTTTAAAATATCTCTTTTAACAAAGCCTTGTGTTGCATCGTTTGGTGCAGAACAGAATTCTGTTGCACATAAACATGGCGTATACTGGTGCAAATCAGAATCTTTAGGTGCAAAACTGATTTTTATTGCACTTGCATCTTTAGGTGAAAAACAGAATTTCATGGTATGTTGAATCTTTATTTGCCTAACATACTTTTGTTGTATGTTGCAACTTCAGGTGCAGAAGTTCAAGATGCGGGAACAGACGATCAGAGACCTTGGTCTGCAAAGATAAAGCAAGCTTAACCCTTGTCCTGCTGGCAATTTTTACACAATATTTTCAAATAATTTCATGTCTTAATCAAGTCACAGACCCTTGACTTTTTTTTGCCCTGCGGCGGCGTAGTTACTTCCGCATTCGTTGCGTTTCGCTGCGGTGTGATGCGTTGCACAAGAAACCCCCCAAAATCGCACATATACAGGGCACTATATAGATGGTACTGTATTTGCAACCCATATATATATATATGGGCCCCGCAGGACAAGGTTAAAAATCAACTTGTTTTATTTGAGTTTACAACGAGTACAAGTATACAAGAGGAAGGGAGTACAAGTTGTCCTCCCAAACTACGCTGCATATATCGTAAATACCAGCTAAAAACTAATGTAAAACTAAGCTAATACAGAGGTTCGGTTTGTGAGGTCATGTTGATTTGGTTGTATGGATATGCATGTATGTGATGAGGATTTTTTTATCCCAGCCGAGCGTGCTGCAGCGCCATCTCTTCGCCAATGCCGGTACTGCAGCCAGCAATGACGACTGTGGCTCCTTAGACTCCTTGGGGCAAAGTGAATTCCAACTACAACACTTACAACAATTCACAACAGTAACACTAGATGCATCCCTGAGTATTCTAGCCCCTTGTCCTGCTGGCATTCCGGGCACAATATTTTTCAATAATTTCATGTCTTAATTAGATCATAGACCCCCATTTTGTTTTTGCTCTGCAGTGGCATAGTTACTTCCGCATTCGTTACGTTTCACTGCGGTGTGATGCGTTGCACGAGAAATACCCCCAAGTCGTACCTATGCAGGGTGCTACATAGATGGTACTGTATGTGCAGAACAACAACTGTTGTAATCCGCAGGACAAGCGCTAGAATGTTTCCACGTTTTATGTTCAATATATAACGTAACATTCTCATAATTTCTTGATACTAACACCAAGTACATGTTATGTACGTGGTATGGTGTCGTGGGCCCCTTCACGAAGCGAAGATTTTATGTAATTCATTACATAAGCCCAGTATTAGTCAATATACGATCTCTATGTCAAAGTACGTGTACAGGCACTACAATTGCAAAGGCCCGGCATGATATGGTGCCGTGGTCCCCTTTACGAAGCGAAGATTTTATGTAATTCATTACATAAGCCCAGTGTTAGTCAATATACGATCTCTATGTCAAAGTACGTGTACAGGCACTACAATTGCAAAGGCCCGGCATGATTTTCTTCATATTCTTCATATTTCTGACTTAAGTGACAAGATAGACTACGACTACCAAAGACCTTATACCAAATACTAAGACCAAATAAACAAGGGTATTTCTGTGCACTCCCGGTATTTTCCACTGTTGATTCATGAGTTCTTTATGTGTGTTATTTTTCCAAGGCCCGCAGTTTTAGCGAGATAATATAGGGTTAATGACCCGCCCTGAGGTGAATACGGTGTCATAATTCATGGCCGGTTCCTATAACCACCGAATGAACGACCGAGTGCGCGGAGCGGACGAGGTCGTTTATGAGGTGGTTATAGGAACCGGCCATGAATTATGACACCGTATACACCGAAGGAAAGCGGGTCATTAACATTATTATCATATAGACATTGTCACATATGCATGTACATCAAGGGTCATCAAGCTGACACATAAGAGAAACAACTTCTGTGTAACATATAGATCTTTTATCTTGCATTGATGTGAATTCCCATCGCAGCAAACCAATTATTTAAAGCTGAAAGTTACAGATATGAACTAACGGGAGGGGTCCTAATTCCGACCTATGTTCCATGCAAACGCACATGCCTTTGGTAATGGTTTGTCTGACCAAAAACTCGCTCAACACGAGCTTTGATATTTACAGATAAAGATAACAACGCTTAAAGCTAAAGAGCTGTGTATTTTACGTCAGGTCAGCGCCTTGCACCCAAGCGTAAGGGTTCGCGAAACTTACGGCAGGTTTTTCGTCATTCTGCCGGTGGAACGTTCTATCGCAAAAGGGGTGCCCTAATTCCGACCTAGTATTTAACAAAGGTCAATCTGAGGGGAGGGCTTAGTATTTAAAATACACAAATTTTGACTAAAACAATCTACAACTATTTTTCTGTCCCAAACAAGTCTTCTTTTTACCATTACGCGACTGGCTCCAAAGCGGCTGTTTCAAAATCAAAGCTGCGTTTTTTGACACGCTCGTCAACCCCCGAACAAGCGTCGAATTCACACAGATTTTTCACTCGTCTGTTATCGGAGCGTCGGAACTGGAACAAACTTTGTGAGATTACCGATATCAACACAGAAACTTTGTCCATTCTTGTGGTTATTGATAGGCACGTGCTCCCATGCATAACGCCGCGACAAGGATTTTTCAAACTAGTACGGAATTAGGGGTAGGTCGGAATTAGGACACCCCCCGTTAAATTTATCGGTGAAGTTTACCGCTGAATTTCGAATTCCAAATTTCTCCACCACTATTGTCCAAATCCATCTCTGCGGTTGCCCCAAACACTGCTTTTACTTCATCTGACGACAACTCAGCAGTTCTATCAAAACTAAATTAATTTACTACTCTACATAGATAAGTCTATCAGAAAGGTCTTTAGAATTAGAAGTAGGTTAAAAGAAAACACCACCCTGTCATGTAATGGTAGCGTCGGTTACGGACCCGCAGGTCCGTATATCGGATATTAATGACCTGGGTTATGGGGGAAATGGAGCCTTCTGATTGGTCGACGTCATCTGGCTATATGATAATAAAGTTTCCACCACCAGAAGAACAAGTGTTATCCAGCCTGATGTCTGCCGTCATTGTGAGGTTACCGCACTAATGGAATTTTCAGCAACATGCTTTTAACGGAGTCCATCAGTCCTCATTTATTTGTTATGGTAACTAAAAACCATAACACGCTTTATAAACTTGTTTTTGCCTCCTGTTGCCGCTAAGATGGTATGAATGATGTTGAAAGGTAATTGAAGAGTTGCCATGGAAAATATAGGATTAACGTATTACTTTTTATGTAGACATGCTTTTGTGCACCTGTTTTGTAAAACATCTTAAAAGATCTTCTAATTGAGGGGCACTTTGACCAGGGAAATTGTGTTATTGAATTGTTTTTTGTTATGTTTCCGGGGGCATTTTTTTCCATTGACAACATGTTAAGGTACTTAGAGGTCTTTAAGTGAGATGTAAACAGTATATTCACCTGTCCCACGGTCAGGCATAACATTTTGAAAACCAGCAGTTTTTGAGCTGACGTCGCGTTGGGCACTACTACATCGGTGAGTGGAAACCTTTTCTTGTTTTTATCCTTCTTGCCGTCATCTTTACTGTACCTGATATATCGTACCAATTCCACTTCCTCTCAAAATTATACGATTGGCCTTCTGGTTGAGAGCCCTTCTGCCTTCTATCAAAGAAAAGTGTACGAACGGCGTACAAAAATAATGCAGTTGTGCGGTCTAACAGCAATGTCTAATACACACACAAGGTCTTCGAGACTGGATCAGATTCAATACAGCACGCTTTGCCCATTTTGCATTTTTCTTCTAGTGTCTCTGATGCTGACGGGCCCATGGAAGTGAAAACCAGTTCCTGAATGTGTATTTCTTAGTGAGGCGTTTTGTATAGCTATAGAACAAGTCGCGGCGCTACGAAAGACCATATGTACAATTATTATTATTATTATTTTTTCTTGTGTGAGTACTTCGGGTTTCTATGGATACTTAGAGTTTTTAGGAGTACTTAGAGTTTCTATGGGTATACGTAGAGTTTCTATGGGTTCTTAGATTTTCTATGGGTATTTCGAGTTTCCATGAGTACTTAAAGTTTCTATGAGTACATAAAGTTTCTATGAGTACTTATAGTTTCTGTGAGCAATTAGAGTTTGTATGGGAACTTAAGTTTGTATGAGTACTTAGAATTTCTGTGAGCAATTAGAGTTTCTATAGGAACTTACAGATTGTATGAGTATTTAGTTTCCGTGAGTACTTAGAGTTTCTATGGGTACTTAGAGTTTCTGTGAGTACTTAGAGTTTCTATGGGAACTTAGTGTTTGTATGACTATTTCGAGTTTCTATGAGTGCTTCAATTTCTGTGTGCGGTCCGAATTTTTGGGGGCACTTTGTTTCCTGTGGCTGATGACAATACATTATTTTTGAGTTGCACGTTCCTGTTTACCTTTCTATTAAAAAGATGATATACTTTTCACCTTTTAAAAGTTTTTCTGCTTACAATGTTCAAGACGTTTGTAAATAGATGAAATTAAATTCTGGCATAGATTATGTTGGGTGGGGAATAGCGGACAACCGATTTACATCTCTTGGTACCACCGAAAAAACCCTTTTTGCGTTCAGCTCCTACGCACTGATTACTGCCCAAAGGTTGCCGCAATGCTGTCCGGTGGAAATCTGGTGGTGTTACGGTGGTGTTTTTCGTCAGGTCACTAGGGGTCATTACCGCTACTATTACATACGGTACTTAGGTCACAGAAACTCTCATACAAACTCTAAGTTCCCATACAAATTCTAAGTACTCATAGAAACTCTAATTAGTACCCATAGAAACTATAAGTACCCATAGGGACTCTAAATACTCATAGAAACTATAAGTACCCATAGGAACTCTAAATACTCATAGAAACTAGAAAGGCCAATATTTGCTTTGGAGCAAATACAGCGATGGGTTCACCACATTTTACCACATGGCAGGGAAAGAATGAGAAACACAAGGCAAAACAATGATTTACATTGATATAACTATAATATAAAGTAACATACAACTAAAACAACAGTTGGATAGCTATTCCCTACTTTATTGGTTAGGATTTTTAATTGCATAATGCAAACTGTTGATTTTCAAAATAAATAAAAAAAACGTTCATGCCCCGCATTCCAATGCTGGAGCAGAAAAGCTTGAAATACCTACCAAAACACTTGAATAAAGACATACTGTCAGTATGGAAATGCTCTGTGCAGGTGTTAATCAACTTAAATCCCAACAGCCAATCAGCAAGAAATGCTCTGTGCAGGTGGAAATGCTCTGTGCAGGTGTTAATCAAGTTAAATCCCAACAGCCAATCAGCAAAGAAGTATAAAGGAAGCTGCATGCCTATTGGTTGATGCCCTGCATTCCATTGTGATGACTCATGCCCAGACTGGTAAACACGGCACACTAACACAGTAATACATTTGCTATAACACAGCCAAAAAACTCAAATAAAACCATTCTAAAAGCCTGTATCACAAAAATTTAAAAAACGCCTAGGGGTATTTGCCCACTGTACCTCCATACCAAATTTCAGGACCTTAGGCCCTAAAATGAAGAAGCTGAATCCATTTAAAGATATGGCAGGAGGAGAAGGAGGAGAAGAAGAATCATCAGCAAAGACAATATGGTTTCACCACACCACTTCGTGGTGTGGTGAACCCATAATGAATATATTATATTAGACACCAATGTTTATTTGGTGCTACATACAAACACAATTCACAATAACATTTATTTTAACAAAAACTCCA